AGGTCATCTGAAGAGAGCCTAGAAAGAAATGCTAAGATTGGAATGGTCTCAGTGGTTATGATCCTATCTCCACTGTCAGTCAAGCCCAGGTCCCAGGGAAATTTAGTCAGGGAGAGAAAGAGAATTAGGTGTTTACCCTCGGAGAAGCAATGCCCATTCTAGTTGTCTCTCTCCTGAGAACCCACTAGTGCTGTGCCTTCCATCAAATAGTTGGAAGCAGCGGGGGAAGACCTAAAGGCTAACAAACCCATGGACCTTAGAAGAACTTGATTTTTCTCTCCTGTTGATCCTCTCAATACAGGCTTATAGGATAACATGATAAGGGATGCAGTCTGGGTCCTCATCCAGGTGACTGTCTCTTTGTAGAAAGCATAGGGCAGTGATGAATGGCTTTTTTTTTTTTTCTTTATGTGTACAAGAGACATTTATATTAGCATGTACTACTCCAGGGCCAAGACTAAATTCCATTTTTATGACTGCTCAAATTTGTCCATATACTCAAATGCTCTGTCAGAATGTCAGAGCTTTTACTTTACTGAACATGGCAAGGACAGCACTGGGGCTTTGTAGTCCTGGTACACATCTGATACCAGGAGGAAGCATCCTGAAATAGCAAAGGAAGGCATGTGCCCTAGGGTTATGATCACAGTTGGAACCTGACCAGATGGAAACACTTTTTTGATGTTTTCTCTTCCTTCTGAGTTGATTACCTTTAACAAAATATGTGATAACAAAAGAAGTTGGAAGACACGGAATTATAACTGTCAGAGCTTGGTTTATGTTATTGGCCAAGGTTTCTGTATATTTGTGTAGAAATTCAAGAAATTTTACTTTCTAAAGAAAATGACAGTTTTCACATTAAACTTAAACACTGACCAAATCTCCTTTGATTCTAAAACATGCAGAATTGACCAATTTTCATTGTTTTTGTATAGGTGCTTTTCAGATATTTTTCTAGGAAGTGATCATTCTGCCTTCAGATTTGAAAACTTAGCTGTCATGGATATGGCTCAGTTGCAGGGTGCCTCCCTGGCACATTCAAGGTCCTGAGTTTGATATCTGGTACCAAAAAAAAAAAAAAAGCCCTCGGATTTGTAAAACTGTGAGAGTTACTCTTCTCAGGGCTGCTGTGAGGATTAAATGGGACACACATGTAAGCATGCCTAGGACAGTGACTGGCCATAACAAATGTTCCATAAACATTTGCAAAATTCTTCAGTTGTCTTTCACCTATTTAGAAAAGAAAGCAAACTTTGAGTGCTTGTTCAGCTTCTAAGCATCCTAAACTGACTTTTCCATCATTTTCAGGTGGTTTTTAAAATGATCAGAAAGGTCCCCCTCTGGTGTGATATTCCTTTTTGACCTGCTCCTGTGTACCTCTATAATCAGCATTAAACAACAAGCTGACATCCCAGTTCAGCTACATACACTGCTCTTAAGTTATATAAGAAAATATATAAGAAACCCTTAATTTGGGATGCCTGAAAATGGAGGGCAGGTGTTAGCTGGGGTGGAAATTGTGCAGACAATAGATATACTATTAGGTGCACTCTCCAACTAATGAAAGGGCTACTAAAAATGAAAGCGCTAAGAGGCTGCAAAAAGAGGCTATAGACAAAAGAGTGAAAGCTAAATAAGAGGAAGTAGTGACCGAAGAGAAAAGGATACCATTGTACTTCCAGAGGTTTCAAGACTGGCGACATACCTCTTCCTTGCCAGTGCTGTCTGAGCTTATGCCCTTGGAACTAAGAAGGGGAAATTTACCTTCCCACAGAGGACTCCACTCTCCTGGTGTGAATACACATTTGTTCACATTCTCTCTGTATGATTTTATACCACCATTGAACTACATTGATTTGTTAATGCAACTTTCTGAAAGATGGACTCAAAAATTAAGGGAAGTACTTTCACAGTGGGGCTAGTAGAGTACTGCCACTCATAAGTCCCTTAAAGTTTGTCAGCAGAAAGGACGTTTTCACAAATCTGCCAA